CCATGAACAAGAGACGGCTCAGTCAGGCCAGTTTGCTCAGACTTCCATTTTGCAAAATGGTCTAAACTTTCAATTAGCTTTTTCCCAGGCTAGGAAAAAGCAAAATGGTCAAGACTTCCAACCAAGCCATTTTCATTTTGGTGTGTTTTTGGTTGGGCGCAGCCCTCCATGAACAAGAGACGGCTCAGTCAGGCCAGTTTGCTCAGACTTCCAATTTGGTTCGGACTTCCAATTTGTTTTTTCCCAGGCCTGGAAAAAGCAAAAGGCTCAGACTTCCAATTTGCTTTTTCCCGGGCCGGGAAAAAGCAAAATGGTTCAGATTTCCAATTTGCTTTTTCCCAGCCCGGGAAAAAGCAATCGGAAGTCTGAAGAGCAATTGTTCTTGCAGCGTGGCCAGGTCACCAACATGACTTGCGCAGACCTTTCGCAGGACCTTCGCGAACCTTTCGCGACTGCAGTGAGAGCACAATCGAAATCAGCCTTTGAAATTCGATTACTAACAAGGAAGAGGTGGGTTTTTGAACGACGCTCATGTGATGTTTGATCTGTACAGCTCAACCGGGCCCACATGCTCAGCTCACGGTGTCGGGTGTCACCCTTGTTGCATCACCAGTCCTTAAGGTGGCAACAACGGCCAAACAGAAAGGAACCAGGGGGAGCAGGACAGAACTCCAAGCGTTCTCGGTTTTGCATGCTCCGTTCTTCAGCCCAGCTCAATGTTTCAGAAACAACTTACATGGTCATACATGGCGGTGCTGAAAACCGGCCTCCATGAAGCGGGGCACCATTCATGTTTCATTAACTGACATAACTCAAGGGTTGCTGAATGTCCAGCTCAAGTGTCACTTCCACGCCCATCACCGCGGTCGTCACGATCCAGAACTGAGCTTGGGCTATTCGTCCAATTGCCTTCCTCCAGCCTCCTGGGAGGCGCGCTCAGATGCGCCAAATCAATTCAGCAAACGAGGCCCGCACCTCACCCCGACCAGACAAAGAAACACCCCGGCAAGGAAGAACAAATGCACAAGGAGGTGAATTAAGCTCATTGAAGCACGAAACCTCACAACACTAATTGGCATTGACCGTTCTGCACCAAGCTGCATTTGGCACTTCCCGTTCTTGCACCGGCGCACACGTCGCACTGCCTTACGGTGAAGAAACCCGCCGAATTGGACGGCGGACTCTTGCGAGTTCGATGGACTCACTTCTTCGTCTGGGCTCCCGGTAGAGTCCCATAGATGACTCTCGCGCTCTTCCGATGGCCTTGCTTTCGCCCTTGCCATTCATCTGAAAAAGCTTCAAAAATGCTAAAAGCATCACACTCGGAAAGCCGAGTGCGTCTAGTGCCTGGAAGTAGCGTACCCACCATCTGAAAATCAGCCCATTGGGCATTGAACCATATCATGTGCTGGCACTTTTCCTTACCCCGGCTCCTACTCAATTGCCTGCTGGGGGGGCTCTTGTAGAAGAACTCACCTTCCTCGTCTCAAACTCTCTAGACATCAGACCATGCTTGCCAAGCGACATGACCGTTGCGCATCACCTGGTTGCACCCCACGGAGACCCGACGCGCGTCGTTCAAGGCGGCGTAGTTGGTCCAAGACGCGCATCCGCGCCGTTTTCGCGTCGTTTTCGCGTCGATCGTCGTGCCGGGTCAGGAGGTGTTTCTTCAGAAACTGCGCAGTTCTGTGGCAGTTCTGTCTTGTTTCGTTTGTCGGATGGGCTCAAGACACCCGTGGGCTGGTGTCTACGTCTTTTTACTTTTTGTGTGATCTTGGAGCATGGTTTAGTAGTAATGGATGTCCTTCTATTTGTCGAAGGAACCAGATTGAAAAAAGTTCAACATGCTTCAACGACATCCAAAAGTAACCCTCTGATGCCAAAGCACGGTCTCTTCTGACATGGACTCAGAGTGGGTGATGGGCTGATCAGCACTCTGATCGGCAGGTTTGGACGGCGGGTTCTGAAACGCACCTGGACGTGGCGGAGCTGCAAAGAGGCAGGGTTACTCATATCATTCAAATGATCCCATGTACCAAAAATCTCTGAACTCTCTCACAGCTCGTGCAGCACATGTCAGAAACATTCAGAAACTGATCACTATAGTACATGTATAGTACTATATATAAAAGTATATATGTATTTATAGTATATAAAAGTTGAACATACAGAAACATTCACTATAATATATTATATATACTGTATATAAAAGTGTGTTGGACCTGCGGGATGTTCAGCTCCCAAGAACCCATTCTGTCAAGCTGCGAAAGCGATTCCAAAAGTCGCTCACCTCAGACGCAGGTTCCCTTCGTCGTCGTTTGTGGAGATCAGGGATCCTGCGATCTGATTATATAGACAAAAGAACTCTGGTCTTAGACATCATAAATGAAGTCGCAGGCGTGTCTTGTCTTGATAGGCATTTTTCCAAACTCTTCTCCTCCACTTGAGAGTTTACACATGGGTTCTTGACATCCTTCAGCTTCCCCTACCTGCATGTGAATGGAGTCTATCCCAACGATTCACAGCGATTCGCAAGTTGGTGGCTACAACCACCCATGTGCTTTAAACAGCTTTACCATGCTTTACCTACGACACCAGGTCAACATGCGTTTAAAATCCTTGTTATGGTCTCGGAAGGCTAGAGCAATACTGTCTCCCTCCGACGTTTCTCCCAAACAACCGTCCAAAAGCGCAGCTCAATCACGGGGGCCAAGAGATCATCGAACTTCGGGAAGTTCATATTCGCTTCCTCGGGTGGCATCACGCAACATGACACGCGACACTGGTCTGGGCAGGTTGCAATCTTCCACCCAAGAGCTTACGAAGAAAGAAGAAAATACCTTTTTCAAAGAATTTGCGTCAACTGTCCCTCAGACAGAAACGACCTGCTGCATCATTCTGTGGCTTGGAACCAGTAGTATCTGCGAATAATTATTTTTGTTTCTCCAGTGCTCTTGTGGGAATTGGACACATCCTGAGTCCTGAAGGCTGGAAAACAACAACGACGACAACAACAACCACAACCACAAGAAAACCATCGTGGGTTCGAGAAACTGGACCGCTTCTTGGCTAGATCTGTTCTCCCTGCCAAGCTGTTCGCCGGATTCAAGCACCAAACATCTTACAGCAAATATATATACAAGTAGCAGCTAGCAGCAGGTGCACCTGGAAAAGGTAAAGATGATGATTGCTTTAACCAGGTGATTGGAGATGAAGCAGTTACAACCCCCAGATTGTTGATCCAGTCCTTTTCAACATGTTGGGGCCATTCTTTTATATTATTTCCATGGTCAACGCATGGTCTTTCGGTCTTCCAACCAACCACTCTCTTCCAAGAGCTCCAGAGCTCAGAGCCCATCGAGTCAAACCAAGCTTCGATGTCTTGCATCTGCCTCGACAGCTTCTTGACCTCTCGATCCAGCGCTACATCGGCCTCAAGCCACAAGATCGAACAGCACAGCCCGCCGGGTCGTGCCGACAACAGAGGGGAAGGTAGAGGGGAGGGTCTTGACTTGTGAGGCGATAAAGAACTAAAAGGGATCTAAAAGGTAGTTGACCTTGATGAAAAACTTGGTCTGTCACTCAGACCTCATGACTCATATTCGCTAAGATTTCATGGAACCCAGTGCCCAGCTGTAGCCATGAACCGCAAAAGTCGCTGCCGAATCGGGAAGGCAGGACGCTGTGGACCAGGACCTCGCGAACGGAAACTGAGTTACTCACAAAGTGAACAGCACCAACAGCACCCCGTAGTCAGAAAAAAGGGACACGGTCCAGTCCTTAGGTGTGTAGCTCAAATAGGGAGACCTCCCAGGCAATGACCCCCCTGGGTTCGGTTGGGCACTAGAGCCACGGCCAGGAAATAGCCCTATAGTAAAATGCACTGTTGTCAGTGTTGGAACACACACTCTTCCAAAACCTCTGAGTCACCGAAGATTTGCCCACCTCGCCGTCTTCCGAAGCGCCGTGATGAGCTGAATCCTCCAACTGCACCGCGCCGTGCTCTGCGCGCGGACATCAAATATGGTGAAATGATCAAATCTGGAAGTAGAAACAAGATGAAACAAGTAGAAACACACATACCTACAGCGCCAGCTTGCCAGTGTCCCTTGAAAAAAATAAACATCATCGGCTCAACATGGATCGAGCCAACTGTTTGACATCTGTCCACTTCCTCGACACTCTGTCCACTTCCAAGTAGGTCTAAAACTGCGCGCGGGTGTTTTTTGGGGTGATTTTTGACTTGCCAGGGCGAAAATATGTTTGTTTTGTTTTGTTTTGTTTCATCTTTCTGTGTTGACATGAATGAGACCTGATTGGTTTAAAGTTAAAAGGCCTTCAAGCGTTTTGGCTCATCGATCACAGTTTTCCTGCGTGGCTTCGCTCACAGGCTCGACAGGCGTGGCATGCCTGTCTTGTCCTCTGATGATCCTCCTCTCCCAACGCCACAGGTCAGACGCCGCGACGCCAGGTGACATCTTTGCTACGACCTTTCTTATGGGAGAAGCATGTAGAACAAAGGAGCGGCCATGACCCATAGCGACATCTTAGGATTTTGTTTGGAAGAACTTGAAGAAACATGAATAAATTGCGAGATGTCAGGGCGAAACAGCAGGCATCTATCTTGCCCGTGGGCACTGTCAAACAACCCAAGGTCCACGGCACACATGCCTCACCATGCCTCGTAGCACGTGTGCGTGTGTCTGTGTGTATGTGTGTGCGTGCATGTGTCATGAATTGTCATGATTTGGCGTCGCTCTATGTGCATGTGGCATCATCCCAGCACGCGTGTGTGCATGTGGGCAGTGTCGTTTTCAAGCGTGTGTGTGCATGTGGCGTTATCGTCGAAGCACATCCTGCCAGAACATCATGAAACTCCTGAGGTGGTCCATAAACTGCACGAAGCAACCAACACAAAAAACGCACGGTCCGGTTTTAGATCCGTAGGCTAAATCATCGGATTTGGAGGTAGAAGGATGCGCCCGCACAGACACACCGGCTGTTCCAGGCATCGAAAAGAATGAGCTCCAGAGAAGGGCGGATCCTCATCTCGGGGGCAGGGCCTCGGCCAGGGTTTCGGTCGGTGAACATACCGGTGTTGGGGGGGGTCCTTCAAGGGGACTTGGGGAAGTGGGAAAGCTGAAGTCGTACTTGTGAGCACTGCACGCATCATCACGCATGCCACATGCCGTCAAAGTGCAGCGGGTACTGAAGTAGTTGACTCTTCATTGGCTCAGCAAACACAAGTCGAGCACACAACATTGCGCATACTTGCGCATCTAAATCATCGGTCACAGCTCCACCGCAACGCCCCGCGGAGTGCTCGTTGCTCGCAGACCGTGCTCCTTGGCGTCTTTGGGATGGCTGCTCTCGGTCTGTTCTTCGCAAACCTCGATTCGCTCCATTTTGGTCGGATCAATCCGAAAAACCTCCGGTGGCCCAGCGACACGCGTTTATGGAAGACACAGTGAAAAAACAGCATCTCTTCCTGACGGAGTGACTTTGAGTGTTTCATTTTGGGAAAGACACCACCCTTTTTTCGGATGTATGTAGTCCAATTCACCACTCAAAAGTCCGTTCTGAAGCCCCTTTGACCCCCCAAAAAGACATCCCACTGGCTGGCGTCGTCTTCCCAATGTGGTCAAGGGATGTTCGCTCGCCTTAGGAGGTTCCATTGGAGGATCACCCATGAGTCCCTCTGATCCACCACTGGGCGCGGGTTTCGCCACCCAGGCACGCCATTCTTGCATGTCTTCACATGCCGAAGCACATAGCCATGACCTGGCGTTGGGGCTACCCCTGGGCGGGCCCCTGGGCCCTTCCCACCGGCCTGATCGCCATCCAGAACACTGAACCCCCGCCGGACCATCCCTTTGATTCGATCTTCGAACATGTCGCTTCGTCGCTTTTTCTCGGAGAACTGAGATCGTGAGAGACCAAGGGTACCAGCAACACGTCCAGTAAGGAGTTGGTTGGGCACAGTCGGCAGGATGGGTCCGATGGGTCCGAGAGGGACTGGAGACTATGTTCATGAAGCGGGGGTTCAGCCTGAGGAGTAGGGTGCCTACTGCGGGTATCTGCAGGCCGTGTTTGTTGTTGAGAAGGTCAGCAAACTAGACTGGATCAAAGTTTCTTCCCAAGGACCCCGTGCAGTCTCTCACTCAGCCCTGCACCTTGACCGTCCTTGGCTGAGGCAAAACACGTCAGGCGATGAAAACATCACACTCCCCGCAACTCAGCTGGGACGTCCAAATGTCTGTGTTTCTGTGACCAAAGCTGGTGGATGGAAAGTTGATGGAACAATCCCCCGCAGGTGGCTTACATGGACCCCCATCTGAAAGACATGTAGGGGGTTGTGCCATCTACTCTGAAACCTCTGTACTTGGCAAAGTTGCATTGGGATGTGTTCAACCGAGCAATGCCGAGGATGCATGTCTGAACAAGTCCAGTGTGGCTTTAGCTCAAGCTTTAGCTCTTGAAGTGCGTGGAGATGCATGGAAAGCGGGCACTCCTACCCTCCAATAAACATCAGAAACACCCCTTTCCAGGAGTCACATGTCGGGGTGCCGAACTTGGAGGAAGTCGGGGTGCCTAGCTACTCCATTCACTCACTGGCTGGGACAAGAAAACACAACATGTGACTCCTGGTGGGAACACTTCAGTCATGACATCCAAGCCACGCAGCTAAAAAACACTGCCCAAGCATCACTGGCCATGCGAGATTCCGAGAAGGAGGACTGTGAGAAAACCTGGGGCCAGTTCAGTGGAATGAGACGAAAAAAAATTCTGGAAGAATTGAATAGGAAAATGCAACCCAAAAACGGACAGGTCCCTCAGATCTTCAAGATGTCTAGAGGTCTACGTAGCGTCAGGTCTACTGGTACGGTCTGGCGTGTCCGGGAATTAAATAAACAACTACCAGGACCCTCCTGTCGGGGTGTCTATTTATAGCCCCTTAGCTGTTAAGGGGTGTCCATTAACCACCCCTTTGTGACTCCTGGTACTTCAATCAGAGTTCATTAAACGCACCTGCTTGGAGGAACGAGGTCTTTTCTCCACAGTGGGCGTACGGTCCAAGGTGTCCTTTGAAGCACAAGTTTGGGCTCCTGGCCCACCTCCTGAGAAGATAGTTGGGGTGGGGTTGGGGGTCTAACCACCTTCTGAGATGGGCCAGGAGCCCTAGGGGCATGATAAACCCGGCGTGATTCGTTCGTTGAACTGACAGGGGTACACACAGGGACTGTCTCACCACCCAACAAAGGGGACATGCAATTTCCAAGCACCTTCCGCTTGAGCATCAACTGTATCAACCAAAACTTATTCATTACTCTGCGGCCCAGGAAGGGATCTAATCAAATCCTAAAATCCTTAACACAAATGGCTGTGTAGCTCAAGTAGCTTCCAACCTTCTCCGTCTTCAAACACACAGCCCTGACGTAACCCCGCATCGCGTGGCGTCCCCGCAGATGACGTCATCACACGTGGGCGAAGGCTACACTGACTGAGCGTTCCGCCAAGGGACTTGAGGTGCAAAACGATCTATACCAGCACCGAAACCAACAGGTCTCCGAAATGGTGGCTTTTGTGGACTTTAAAGTCGCAGGTGGTGACCTGTTGGAAGGTCCTGGTATAGAATTCATACCCATACACTCCATGGGACTGGACTATATGCCGATCAGTTGACCACCCTGGGACCACCCCGACTGATCGACATCTAACATATATATTTTATACATGGAGGGTATGGGATATGTTGGAATATGTTTACTTATACATGAAGGCCACACTCCCTGAATCATGGGCTTGCCCGTGGATGGCTGACTCAGAGTGTACGACTCTCCTATCTTTTCCCTACCCCAAACACGACATCCATGGGACTGGAAGATATATAGATTCCTGACATCAACCACCTCAACTGATCGGTCAATATGCCAGTCCCATGTCTGTAAAAGTATGAACTGAAACGCTTACTACTTAATCTACGCAATCTACGCAGTGGTCACAGAGTTGCCACCAGCCCCGGCATGGTCCGCTCCAGGCGGATCCGGAACAGAACAAGCTCTCCGCTCCCAGCTCCGTCTGAGCTGCCAGTTTCCCGACTCGTGTGGTAGGGCCAGTCCGTTGCTGCCCCCCATTGGATGATTGATCTCTCCAACTTCACTGTTTAAACCCACATGAAAATCCAGGAACCGATGGTTGTGCAGGTACTGGCAGTACTGGTGCATTATATGCAAAGATCCGGGAAATATAACCTAACACAGCAATCCCAAAACCCCACTGCCCTGGTTTTGTCCCGTCTATGGCACCTGAGAACCTTGACTGCCATCATTGCCTGGCGACTGCACCAATGGCTAGCGAGAAAAGGCCAGGAGTGGTTGAAAAGGCCGGGGGTCATTGAATGTATACTAATTTTGATCTAAGCTATCCTATTACCAGTAACAGCTAGTGGATAATATGTTTCAGTTGCAGGCCGTTCTCGAAAGTAGTGATGTTCTTGTTTACCGACTGGTAAAAAGAAAATAGGAGAAACCCCATCTATAATCTCTTGGAGCTTTTATATCTTCCTGTCTGGGTAAGGAGACCCCCAAGCGGGTTGTGGTCAGTCTAGTTTCCTTCTTTTAGTGATCCTACTGGGAGGTCTCCTTTTTACACCGCTTTCCCATGAACTCACCCTCTCGACCAACTTCACCAGGATTCTGTTCCAGAATCCCAGTACCCTGCGTTTCCACCACCCAAAAACACACGGGATGCTGTGGTGTTGTGACCAAAGTGCCTCCCATGTTTTGACCAAAAGCCCAAAGACCTGTCATGCTGGAACACCTCTGATCGACTCCTGAGTCTTCCTCGCCCCCGACTCGTCATGGTCGGACATCGTGTCTGACTTCGGATGGCCCAACTGCCATCCGAAGTCGACTGGCGTTTCGCAGCTTGGCGTTTCGGCCCTTAAAAACGAAGGCTTGGACAATTTATGTCTACAGACAATTTCACTTCATGCCTCATACATTTAGACCTTTAGAATCCCCTTCCTTTAGACCTTCAGACTTACTGAATCTTTATAATATGTTCTTTTCCCTGTCAGACCTTCAGACCTTTCATCGATTGAATCGAACCGTGTCGACCTTCACATCTCAGCAATCTCCAAACGAACCGAACGAACCGAACCCCGATGGAGCGGAACCGAACCTCCTCCCGGGCTCGCCTTCCTCCCGCTCCCGCGCGAGATGGCGAAGAAGCGCAGCTGCACCGTCCCCCTGACCGGGCCCGGAGGAGTGGACTTTGGGACGGTTGGAGCTCCAAACGAACGGCCTACGGGGGTGGAGAGGTGGAGACCAGTGTCGATTCCCAGAAGACAGGCCGCCACAAATGGAGTCACAGTGTGGCACTAGTGGTGGCACCTGTCATATGCCAGGAGTCACGTTCGACGGGGTGCCGAACTTGGAGGATAGGGGTGCCCAGCTACTCCACTCACTGGATGGGACTAAACACCACCCCGTCTTGTGACTCCTGTCGTAGTTGTCAATGGCAACAGGCCAGAAGAGCCATCTTTTGAAGGCACCATTGCTTGGTGACGGCCACCCCTATTGGATGGAGGCTCACCCAAGGAACGATACTGTACATCTTGGAACCAGCATCTTGCTCCTTGCGATGCTGAATTGCAAAATGCTAAAGACTAAAGCAGGATCCCCCGCAACGTCAACAACGAGGCGGGCGCTTGATTCCTCCTTCCCTGATCGTGGAAAAGATCGAAAGGGCCCAAGAGGTCTCAGGTCCAATGTCTGTACCTCTGTGGAACATTGGGCGCGCACGACGGAGGGTAACTCAGCGGCTTCATCCTTGAGATTGACGCCCGCAATTCACTTCCTCCACACCCTTCGACACACTACGACCACTCTGTGGAGAGCCCATCACTGGAATTTTGGAGCAGTGACAACAGTGACCACGGGCCACCAATAAACTGGGCATCCGTTCCGGGAGCTTATCCCAGTAGGCATCCAAGAGCTCAGCAAACTCCCGCTCGATACATCCGCGCGGCCAGGTCTTCCGCACATCTGGGGTCCGCAGACCTTCAGCCTCGGAGGCTGAAACGTCCGAAGCCTTGGGGTCGATGTCCAGCGTCTCCCTCAACTCTGGCTTGCAAGGGGCATTCAGGTTGCCCAGATGAGCTGACATGGCGGCACGATGGCGGCACGATGGCGAGATCGGCCCGGTGTGTGAATGACCTTCAAATGTTCATGCGTTGGTTCTAAATATCTCGAGCCACCACATGCGAGACGCAGTTCTTTCCCAAGAACTTCAGCCCGATCGTCCTCGTCCTGCACATCGCCCGCGTGGATCCACGCTCTTTTTCTGCTGCCCGAACGCATCATCCGAACAGCTCCGATGTGATGTATGGAATTGGTACAACTATATATTACATTGAGGTGGTTGAAAGGGGTGAATGTAGGTCATACATGGAGTGTCTGGGATAGGACAACCACCTGCGGGCCATCATTATGTTCTGTTTGTGTTGTAGCATGATGCCAAACCTCTTCCCTACGAGCCGACAGAAGAACAAAACTTGTCATTGCTCACCCAACGAGCTCTGTAGCCATCGCTTTCAACCAGGATGGACGGATGACTTTCACCTTAAGCAGAAAGAAACAACAACAAAATAACAGTCCACAGCTGATGGTTGCGGCCTGTGGTTGAGTCTGTGATCACGTCATCTCCAAGTCAGAGGCATTTTCTTCTCTTCAGAAGTCATTGGCTTTACTTCTGGAAGAGTCCTTTTGCACAAGCAATGCACACCCCACTTTGGATTGGAGCGAAGAAACTGGAGCCTGAGAGCCTCTTTCCCAAATGGTCCGTTTGCCGGAAGTGGCCCACGACACTGTTGACAGAGGGCCTTGCTCATCTTGGCGGCCTTCTCCTCCAATCTCTGCCGTGCCGCGTCCTCATCGCCTGACCAAAACGTTTCTCAAACTCAAAAGCAATGCCAGACGCTCCATGTATACCATCTATGCCGCCCCAGACAGACCCCCCCTGGCACCACCACCCCTGGGCCGTTTTGAAGGCAGTCCGGACTGCCAGTCCGTGTCTGGGCGGACTGGCAGTCTAGATGCCGATCAGTTGACTACCCTGGCACTACCCCCAACTGATCGGCATCTATTCCAGTCCCACACCATATAGGCTTCTGCAGAACCGCTCCGCTCCGGTCCGACCGGCTTTTGAAAGGTTAGAAACCTGGATCTTCCAACGAATTACGCAAAAGAAACCTGCCAAGCTTGGCTGGCTTGATAGATAACAAATAATCATAACTAAATATGTCTGAAATGTTGCAGAATTGGAAGATCCAGGTGTATGACCTGGATCTTCCCAGTTTTTCCACACCTCCGAAACCAACGACTGCTGATCCATCGACCCAGCTCGCCCCCCATTTTCACAACCGAGTTCGGAGATCCTGCCTGTGAGATCCTGGCGCAAGGCCTTTCGAGGGCGTGGCAACGAGTTCGGCTGGGGCGGGAGGAGGGAGGGATGCTCTTTAAAGGGGCCCTGCGATGTCGTGCGGTGCGGCCAGGGTTTGTGTGTGTGTCAGGAGTCAGGAAGGATAGGGGTCCCCAGAACATCCACGGCCCCTGGATGGGATGAAGGAAACCACCCCGAGCGACGGACCAGCACCAAAAGGGTAGTTCTTGGAGGGAAGATGGTTGAAATCATGGAAACATAATGGAACATATGCATAAGTCAGGGGCAGTCAAGGACGCCACAACCGGCTGCATCAGGGGTCTCTATAATTCCACCCTTTCGATGAGCTCGCGAGTTCGACCAAGCCAAAACGAATTTTCGTGGACACGACTGGCATGGGACTGTAATCCGGGGAGCTGTAATCCTTCAATAGACTACCCATAGACTACCCAGGTGACTACCCTACACTACTGGTGGAATCTCCATGTATCGCACCCAATTTTTCAAGGTTCAGGCCAATTGGGAGTGTTCAGGCTCCGTCGGCCATGACAACAGCTTTCGGGCTTTCGAGAAAGCAGTGTACATGGTGTGTCTTCGATTACCCCCCCCTGGAGAGTATAACATAGACCGTGAAAACTACCGTGCAAATAGACCCCTGTAAGATCCTGTAAGTATAAGACTGTTCTCCTCTACCATCCAGTGGTGTTCAGGGTCCATGTTAATCTGCAGACGGCATGCCGCAGCAAGGCCTCTCTGCTTTGGAGGCTTGTGAGTCACACTGAGAGAGAACCACCTCCTCCCCAAATACGACCTGTCTGGAACTGGCATATGTGCATGGGGTGGAATCAGGGGGGCAATGTACTGTGGGCATCTATTCCAAACACGACCTGTCTGAGGACTGGAACATCACAGTTCCACACCTGAAGCTGTTGCCTCGTGACCTTGCGCTGCTTGTGGAACAAAGCTACCGCCATGTGGCACGGCGTTCTCAGGGAACCAAAACAAAAGCCTGGAGGATCCCACTGGAGGATCCCACCGTGTTCGCTACTCACCGTGTCGCCTCTGCCAACGACCAAAGCCGCGGCTGCAACTGCTCCAAGGACCTCTCGCTCTCCGCCTCGCCGAAAGCGTTTCAGACTGATCCTTTGGCCACTGAAACCCACCGTGTTGCAAACAGAATACGGTGGGCCCAGCATGGTTTACCATGGTTTCTTGACTGTCTTGAGCCAAAAGCCCTAGGATTCCTGGCCGAACCGCTTGAACGACGGAGGAGGACGTTTGGACGGCCAGGTCGGTCGTTAGGTCGTTCCCGTGTGGTTTCTTCGCCGGCGAACGAAGTCAAAGAGGTTCTCAAAAAGCGTCGGTTCGAACTCCCAGAGTTAAGCATGAACATGATATTTACAATATATTTACAATAATAATGAACTTAATAGTTTAATAATTATATTATTTATATCATTAAGCAGATATTAGCAGTAACACTCTTAGTATTAATGACATTTAATGAGTTTGGGTGAATTTAAGCTGCTTGAAATGCAGAACCCATAGGCCGAAATCCGGAACCCATGGCCGAGGTCATCGCGCTTGACCTCCACTGTGGTCACGAGTTTCGAACGTTCATCGCGGTTCCAGCGGATGACGTTGGTGGGCCTGAGACGCAAAAGCTGCCCCGTCGAAGGCGAAAGCGAGCAGCAGAATTCGCCACATGGATGGGCCTGAGCAGCAGAATTCCCCCGTTCTCCAAGATCAGGAAACCAGAAAGGTGATCACATGTGATCACCATCACCACAGGATCAATCCTACACCTGGCAGCCTCGACATCACCATCACCAGGTTGGACCTTCAAAGGTCTTTTTTGGACCATGGTCTTATCAGAAATCTCCTGTGCGGAGCGTTCAGACTGTTTCCAGCTGCGTTCAAGCTATGGCTCAAGCTGCCACCAGCCTGCTAGTCAAGATTCTGAGACCACGCCCTGTTGGATCATATTGGGAATGCGTATTTTGAAAGGGAGTGTAATAGGGAGACCCCCAACCATGGACTGGTCTATGTTCTTTCTTCCAGGGGTTCGTTGGAGGTCCGTATTCCAATACACACATAGTTTGCATGTTATGCTGCGAATTCATTCCGTGCGTCGCTGGTCTGCTTCCCCTGCTTCGCCGACTGAGGCGCCAACCGGGATCGGCGGGGGTCGGCGCAGGACACGGCGGACACTTGACAGGGGAATTGCTGCAGGCCCCCAGAGAGGCACCTTGGACCTGTTTAGCCCAGGGCATGGGAGCGAGCCATCAGCCCAAGCATCCCCAAGCACCACGGACTGAACCCTCCCATTCCAAACCGAACCATAGTTCAACACTCCCCAAACAGGTCCCGATCTCGGTCCGTTTCTGTCCCGCCTTCCTCCGAGTCGTCGCTGCTCTCCGGGGCAACACCTAGCCACGTCGACAGGGCTCCCCCGCCTGAGGTGGGGTGGGTCAGGGCCGCCGGGGGGGGGGCCGGGTCGAACCGCTGGAGGCCAGGGCCGTTGCCCTATAGGGAATAGACCATGACCATTGGAAAATTCATTAGCGCCTTAGAGCTCAAGAAGGTGTTCATGAACCACCCAAATTGGGGACCTGGTAAAGGTTTGGCAAACAAATCGTGTTTCAACCAGATTGGAACAAGTAGGTGAGTGAATACGAGCCAACAAAGGGCAAAATTAAAGGACTAAACTGTCTTTTTCTATATAATTACCTGATAAACTTTCCCAAGCCTGAGATTACGTGGATTGCACTCCTTACTAAACCTCCTAGTATTCGTCTTCAAATCTGCAATATCCAATGCACTTTTACATGAGGCGTTTTTTGGCTCAGTTTGTCTCTTGTTTCGCCCTGCTGGCTTTCCGCCCGCTCGTTGCGCAGGTTGCTGCGCCCACCGCCTCGCCGGACGTTAAAGGCGTTGGCGGTGCGCTCGAACTCCTCCGCTGAGCAGCGGAGGGCGGGATAAACCCTGCATCAAAGAGAAAGGGATCCTCTATTGAGCCCACTGAATCAACACCAAAACAACACAACACCCATGTAAAAAAACACAAATTTTCTCGAAACGACCTTGATGTTCTGAAGGATCTTCAGGTGTTCTCTGGATCCTCCATAAGGAGATATATACCCTTTATCTTCCGGGTCTTTCTCCCGAACCTGCTGGAGATTCCCCAGCTCGGCCATGGCGGCCACCAGGTCAATGTCCGGCACCTGCCGGTTGCGCTCGCGCCACGGGCAGGTGGAGGCCTCGTCGAAGACCGACCTGGACCTTCCAACGACCTGCCGGCGATTTCTCGACGCAGGTCGTTGGAAGATCTAGGTCTCCTTGGCTGTAGGCTCTTGAGGACCATAAACCCACCCACTTGAATTGGACATCCTCTTCCTATCGGGGGGGGGGAGTATTAGGCTGACACTCCAGCCGCTGCTTGGAGGGCGAAGAACCACAGGATGGGCCGAGCCTCCCAGCCCCCCCAACCACTGCGCCCTTGGCACTGCAACCCCCGAGGTGAACACGGGGTTTTTTCACGTGGGCAAACAAAAGAAACACAGGTGGTGCATGTGTTTTTGCATGCCCCAGTTTGCTTGTCTCGTTGCCAAGCGAAAAAACACTAGTCCCAGGAGGGGGGTCGGTCAGTTCTTGCGACCTCAGCACTGGCCGCCGCTTGCCTGGGTTGGTTGCCGCAAAACACTTCAACCACTGGACAAAAACAAGCGCCATGCGGTTCGCCACGGGTGGCTGATAGACAAATTCCTGACATCCCCGGAATATATGTTTTCCTTCCAGCAATTAACCACCCAAAACTGGGTGCCTGGTGCTAGAATTGATGCTATCTGAGCAATGCATAGCAATGCTTTCTATCTGAACCTTCTGCAATCTACTTCTGAAGCTTCATGTTCCGATGCAGGATCTTTAAGCTTCATGAACACTTCCAAGCTGCAAACCACATACCTGGACCTCCCAATGGGACATTTTTGTCATCAAAAGACATACAGTAAATTTGGCAGTTGGAACATCTATCCCAGCACCCTCCAGCACGTCTCGTCTGGAGGCTTTTGCAGGCTCAAAAGTCGCAGGTGGTGACCTGTGGGGTCCTGGTCTAGGCATATCTGATCTTATTCAGAGGTTGCCAAATCCGTGCACCTGTGGAACCTCCTTTTCACCTGTGTTCCCACCCACTAAGCCGCCCACGCGCGTTCCTCTCTGGCCGCCTCGAGCGTGCCGAGCATGCAGACTCTTAATTGATTAACATTCCACCCCCTTTTGGATTGAACCACCTCTTCGTATGGGGGGGTTCATTAATCAAAACATATCAAAACTCTACATTACCTCCAGCATCATGTGAAAACAGGACCAGACTCCATCAAACTCATCAAACCTTGCAACATGTTCAAACCTCCGCTTGAAAAGGGAACCAACCCGACTCTTTCACGTCCCGACTCCCATTTTTTCAGCCCTCCCGCCCGGTCGGGTCGGGAACCGCCGCGGCGCCGCCTGGATCCGCAGCCATTCCTCCTCCGCCGCCTTCTTCTGTTCGGCGGCCTGAGGACGGGAGGACGAGTCCGGTCGGCCCCCCGGGGCCACCTTTCCGGCGACCGTCGGCGATGTATGTTGAAGGCCGCTGATTAGGCGGAGGTGGACTGGGGGGGGAGGTGGAGCTTTAAAGTGGACTCAACCCCAGAGGCTCCAACGCCTATGTATTACACAGTCGTCGCTCCCTCACACCCTCGACGCACATATAGACCCTCGTCGCTTTTTCTGCATTTTGGTCTCATGTTGAGACCTACCCCCCCAAGATCCACTTCATTTCTGAAGGGATGTAGTCCGCTTCAAACGCCATGTCCTCCCAGGGGCAGTGGTGCATCAACTGGTCTTAAGAAACACCAAGACCTTGCCTCACCAGTCGTTTCGACTGCTTCAGTCTCAGCAATGAGCGCATCAGGATCGAGCGATGCATGGTAAATTTATGACTATTGACCGTCAAGCCTTGGGTGAGATGAATGCATGTCAAGGCTTCACACCTTCCAAAAGAAAGTTTGGTACTGCACACTCCAGGACTCTCAAGGTTGAAACCACACTCTTCACCACTAAGCCACCTTTTGCATACTTCATGACATCCTCATCGCACATTGTATGTTCGAACCGTGGGTTCACTCCTCAGAAGACCACACACAAAGAGGGGAGCCTCTCGACTAGCACTAGATAACAGTCACGTGTGTCAAACCATTTAGTGGTATTGCAGATCAGGGTCTGGAGGCCTGTGCTTCAATGATGTGATGATGAATCGCCTTAGATCCAACAAAGTTTAAACAAGACTTGTTGAAGTCTCAGGAGTTTCAACAGCTATCATTTAGACTAGTGATTTGCCAACAAATCAGCTTTGGCGCGTGATGTTTTGGGATGATCGTCCACAGCATCCTGTTTGACCTGCTCATGAAGCAAATGGCACCAGAAGGACTGGCTGGGTGGGGGCTGACCATGTGGATGAGTTGGCAACATGGTGCACATTCACCACAATGGTGGCAACTGTGCCTCAAGGTCAACCTTGCCAAGGCTTTAAAAGAGTTCAAGTAGGTATACCCTTCCCGTGCAATTGCATCAGCTTCCAGAGGTGACCTCAACCAAGTGCCAATCCAATCACAAACACTAGAGGAAAATAACAATATTTAAAGTATACATGTGCATGTATAGGTCTAAGCAGGTGACAGGATGTACCCAGCTTTCTCTATCTCAATCTGGAAGTTGTTGCCACTGACCCTTAAGAAACATGCATATTGAACAGGCACGTGTTTTGCATCAATCCAGTTGCACAAGAAAAACTGGGCACAAGGCAAGCAAGCTGACATGAGCTGGTACTCTAGCTCATCAGGATGTTGCCGCAACAAGTCTATGCTGCAGTCAGCCAGCCAAGCACACAGGACCCGACCATTGTATGCTTTGGCTGTCAACATTGGTTCAAAGCCCTTGCTTAGTACCTGAGTTGCTACACACTGGACGCAACACAAATCACATTGACTTCTCCATTTTGTTCCCTGTGCACAAAATAGCTAATAAACAAGTGCAACATCATTTATAATGCGAGTCTCCAACCCAGGTGTGAAACCAGGTTGTGAACAGGGAACTCGATGAAGTTTCTTCCATGCTTTGAACTGACGAAAGGCAGCCCTCAATGCTTGGCGAAACGAAGTCGTAGCTGGGCATCCCCAATATCCAGCCTGGTACAAAGTGCACCTTGCTTTCAAGCGCATCAAACAAATCAAGTAGTGTTGTTTTCCAGAACCAAAAGATCACAAACACATTAGAACAAACTCATATAGCTGTGAGACATGGCTGCTCCATTTGAGCGCTGGAATGTTCCAAGAGCCACATTGTGGGAGATGCAGAACCTTACCATTGCCGCATGAAAACCGATGATGCAGAACAAAGGGCCTCAGGACACCAAAGTTGCACAAACTAGTTAGGCGAATTGCCTGGCATATATGACTCGATAAAACACAGACTATAAAGACTTTACCCAGCTTACTGCAAGGTACAAATGGGGCCTGGTTTCAGCTTTGTGTTCAAGAATTCAATGTGGCTGGTCTGGTTCTGAATCCATGGAGCTGTTGGGCTGAAATCCATATAGGATTCCCCCAAAGGTCCCCCAGTACGCTCACGCTTTGCGTTGCACTTCCAGCAAAGGCCTTTCGAGTTCCATCTGGCCTTGATTCCAAGGGATGAAAGATGCCATGACCAGTCACCCCTAACCTCTGTCAATGCAAACCGGTGTTTGGCTGCACAAAGCCAATCTCCATTTCCAGTAGATCGCAAGTTCCGCGGCAAGTCCATCCCTTTGAATCCACAGCCTGGCAAGCGTCCTTCAAAGAGGATGTTCAAAGCCCAACTGATGTACTCAAACAGAGGCCAGAGTGTTTTGGTACCCAATGACAATGCCTCGCGAAGAGTACATATGATCCACCTGCTGTTTCGTGAAGTCTTTGGCCTCCAGAGAGGGAAATTCAATGTCAAGACTATTAACTTCTCCATTTGTCCTGAGGCTGATGAGTACCGTGCTTCATCGCCGTACAGTCCAATAGGTATATGAACTGACTCACGTGCTGCAGGGTGACTTGCACCCCAAGAAAGGTGGGTCTTGGCGTGACTCCAAAACTTGTTGACATTCTCTGCAGGAATCTCAACGCCATGTTCATCAAATAAATATTGAACAAGGGAAAGGATGTTGGTCATTGGCAGCGGGTGCCACACAACTTCCCCACCCTCCTCTCGAAAGTCAAGCCAAGTCGAAACATTGATGAGGTCCTTAATTCCCAATCGGATCATGGATTGCCAGCTGAACATCTTGAAAAATCTAATTTGCACAACCATGGGAAAATTGAAAACACATATGTCTTGCAAGCTTCGACTGGGACCTTGCACTGCTTCCAAAAATTACGTGACCAGTTAGTCCCCTTACTGTACCGGTCCAGCTTGTGGGTCCTCCAACTCATTCCAGCATCCCCGCATTCCAATGCTTCCTGGCGCAGGAGGCACTGATCCAGTTCAAGCACAGCATGACCCACCAGCTTCCCTTGAAACAAATTGTGTGCATTTCGCCTCCTGTGCAGCCTTTGCACTAGCCACTGCAGCAGCCACACTGCCCTTGGACATCCAACAACTCATCAATTCTTCTGACAGTGGCTGACTGACAGTTTGGATAACTTGACTGAGCTTTGGGCTCCAAAGCCTACTCTCTCCTCCAAGAGATCGCAGAAGGGGGCCTCAGCACCTTGGCCAAATGCTGCAAAGATGCAATATGTGTCGAACCTGCTGTGTAGCTGGCTCCCCCCAAAAAAACATGAGTCTGAAGATTCTGAATGCACATTTGCACCCAATTTTTTTTGCCACTGGCCGAAACCATGTGAAGTGCTTCCAATACAGATGCAGCGACAGCACGTGAGAGCTTGCAAGTGGGAGTTAGTACAAGTAAAGGCTTGTTAGTTATTGCATGTTGGACAACCCTGGCACTGTTTCATGGGAGAGGGTTCCTGTCACAAAACAATTCCAAACTGCAAGCCCACTAGCGCACACCTTGAACGCAACACTGTATCAAAACAGGAAGACATTGCAAAAGGGAAGCTGTAAGGATCTGTGTATGCACAGTCCAGAAAACCCTGCGCAATTGCGAATTGTGCAACCCACATCCAGCTCCGGCTCTTGAAACTCACCCCTTAGGGCTCTTTCTTTGGCTCCTTCGGAACCTTGGATGAACATCGATTGATCTTGAGAAAGCAAATTCAGGTGGGCCACAGCTACCCAGGAACTACCCAGGCAGCAATCATCATATAGTATATATAAGCTAGGATATGTTCTTGGGCCGGCTAAAGCTGAAAGGCTAAAAGATCGCACGCGGTCTGACGCACGCAACAATAGGCAACGCCAAATATGGATGGGCAACAGAGCAATGATCCACTAGAGCATACTAGAGCAATGGACCAAGTGCGTGCTTCCTGCATACCCACATGCGCAACATTGCACGACCATTTGGAGCTCCATCTTTAAGCACCTCATTTGCCTTCATCATAACAGGTTGCGGCAACAAGAGCATGCATCTGCCAATGCAGCGTGCATAGTGGCGGGATGTCACAAATTCCTGATGGATGGCTAGTCTGCACCACCATCATCTGAATCATCTTCAATCAGATTGCAAAGCCGCGGTTCAAGAACAAGTCTTGCGTGAGGCATTGTTGCTGTGTGCTTGCCTGCGCCTTTTGAGCCAAAGGCCTCCGAACAGGGTCTATCCATCAAGGAGCTTTCACCTGTCTCCAGGAAGGTACTCCCAAAGTGTCTTCAAGTCACTGCCATTCGATTGGGTTTGTCATGTTTTCTTTGTGCCATGTGGTTTGAGCTCTACTTTGTCCACCTAACCAAACACCTTCCTACATGATTGGCAGCCGGCGCTCCAGTACTCAGTACTGGAAACCAGAACTTTCCCATCATAAGTGCACACACATGCAGTAAACATGGCGAAGGAATATTCTCAAAACATGGTCCGCCTGCTACTTGCTGCATAAACAAAAACTGTCATGACACAGGATCAGATCTGAGGGCCTGCAAAGAATTTATATTATTTCAGCAATTTATTTCAGCATGTGACCTGATGCCTGCAAGTCTCCTAAAAGACTTCAGAGTGCAGATGGGATAGCCACCTAATCGAGATTCAGTATCCCCTAAGCAGTTGCCACGCCAAGACTTTAAGGCGTCAAAAGACATAGCATGTACATGTGAAAGGCAATATCCATCCATGTAACAATGTAGGTAGGCATGGTCACAGGTTTGAAGGGGAAACCAAAAGCTTTCGGAGGTTTAGACCTTGGTTTTTTGTTGCTTCGCAGGACTTGCAGGGCAGCTCAATTGGAGATGCTGGGGCCCAAGGACCACGCTCCAACAGAGAGTGATTCATGCCATCGCACAGTTTAATTTGCATGTACATGCATCGTAGTCGACTCGACTCTAGATCATGTTCAATCTCACCGTTCCCATTTTAAGGATCCAGATGTATTCGAAAGAACACTCATGGGTTTGAGTCTGGTTGTTCCTTCGACCACTACCTTGACTCAAGCCATCACACTTTGAACAGCAAACCCTGGCAATCGAGTTGCTGTGGCGCAGGATTGGAATCACTGATGTTCTGTGGCGACTGGGCCCCAGTTTGAGACAAGAGGCATGCTTCCTGACAGCTTTGATCATCTCTTTGTGGTCTTGAATGCAATTCTCAATCTCCAAGATGATGTTGCGGGCCTGGAGGGGTTGACATAAATATCAAGAGGGTCTTCTTGTCTCAATGTTGAAAATTAAATGGTGCCATCTAACGACTAGTGATGTCACCAATTCTCAAATAGATTATTGCTGGCAAATCTAAAATCTGAGAGAGACTGTAAGGGGAGGAAAGGAAGCTGGATGGAAACATGAGAGCAGGCCTCCTCCTCAGAAATTGTTTCTGTCTCCAGCTTGTCGCGCAAGGTCTTCAGCTTATCCGATGGAGTCTGGATATCCTTGCTCAAGGCCAGCTGCAGATGTTCGGGCCTGGGAGCCGGAGAGCAAGGGGTGAATTCTCCCAGAGAAGAGGTTTCCAAATGTGATTGAGACAGGGGCGTCTTGCTTGAAGCAAGCTTTTTTGTCCATTCACCAGTCTCAGCACATGCTGTAGCAATATCCCGCAATGCCTGGCATATCCATGGGTCAGTGGGTCTGATAGGCATAGCCATATAAACAATAATAAATGGTTCACTCGAACAATTTTGGTTCCATGTTCTAATGATCACTACCTGGCCTTTTTCTTCTTGGCATCAACAGATGGTTCTTTGGTCTCTTTGGGATCTTCGGTTTTGTTGCCACCAGCTTTTTTCTTATTCTTGTTCTTGCCTTTCCCCTTTGCTTTTGCTTTCGGCTTTGCCTTGGCTGAAGGCCTTAGCAGTACTGCTAATTAAAAGTTGGCGGTGTACAATTCTCTTTACATTAAAGCATGCACCCTTGCACACAATGACTCTGTCTAGACAAGGACAGGGGGCTTGTCAGGATCAGCGACCTCTTCAGCATCTGAGGATTCTGATGGGTCAACCTTCTCATGCTCACCCCCCACACATTCCTCATCCTCGCTCTCCTCGATTTGGGATTCCTCCTCGTACACAAGTACTTGGATGAACTCCTGGCCGGCCAGGGCAATTCAAGGAAGGGCTGATGGAGCACAAGAGTGATCAGGAGCACTGAGTCAAATTAGTATGGGTCGACGATTCAACATGTGGATCATATTGGTGGTGATGTTTTTTTTAATGAGTGCATGGGGGTCCAATCTATATAGATGGTTTTGGTTCCAAACCAAATCCAAAACAATATAGCACAAGGAAGCTGTCCTTCATGTCTGGAAATTCGGGGTGGTACCTCCATGCGCCTGCATCCACCTTGTTATTGAACATTTGTTCCACCAAACCATGTTCATCTTCATCGAACCTGAGGCGTTCTAGCTTGCACTCTTGCTAGGTCTCATGAGTTGCACAAAACAATAAAATCAAGTAAGCAAGTGACTGCTTCTTGAGCTGTTTCAATGTGCGCCATACCTTCTTGAGTGATCGTTTAGACCTTGATTTGTGCACTAAATTGTGCCATGTGCGGCTCTTTGTCCATTTCCCCTTGGATCTGAAGAAATCTTCATACAAGTCAGCTGTCTTCGCATGGTCTTTGCCTGTCAGGATTGGACAATTGCCCATCCACCAGTTGGGCACTATATGCGCTACAAGGCTGATATTTGAGGGACATGGCATGTGTGTAAGCTTCAAACTTGAACGGGCTTTGAGTCCCATCTTTCGGATCTCCTTTGGTGTCTTGCTACCTTGGATAGTGAAGATCCAGGCAGGTTGCTCAGATCAAGATGCATGATTTCTATAACATGTGTACGGCATAGTGTACAGTGTACATGTACATGGTTGTCAAACACTGAAACCTTAATTTTCAGAGTAGGTGCTCTTCAGGGAGCGAAGGAAAGTGTTGTAATGGTTGTGCCGCCGTCGTGCTTCCTCCTCTGTCAGCTCCTTTGTGGCATCCTCCTCTGTGTATTGCTCTTCCCATGTTTTGTCATCCTTGGCACTGGCACGCTTGTCTGCAGGGAGTTCACTTGTTGGCTTTCGGTTGAGAGCTGCATTTGCTAGTTCTGAAGGCGTGGCTGCTGAACCGGCTTCTCCTGGGGCTGGTGCACTGGCTTTGGCTTTAGGGAGTGCTGCATTGGCCTTGGGGGCTGGAATGGCTTTGGGGGCTGCTGGACTGGCTTTGGCTTCAGCTTGAGCTGGCAAATTGTAGCGAACATCGATTAGGTCTTGCAGCTCTTCTGCAGTCCCCACCCTCCAGGTTCCATTGTCAAGGGTCCACCACGTCCCACCATGGAGCTCCCATTCATGTGTACGCTCTGTCGTGAGGTTCTGTTTGGGTGCACTTTTGGCCTTAGGGGCTGGTGGCTGGGCTGGTGCCTTTGGAGTCTTTCCAGGAGGTTGTCCCCCTTTTGGTGCTGGGGGTGGTGCCTTAGTCTTTGGTGCACTAGCTGTCGTGGACTGTCGAGCATCTTGCTTATTGTCATCTCGTTTCTTTTTAGCAGCTTGTTTTGGCTCAGCTGGTTCCCCCTCATCAGGTGGTGGATGTCTCTTGGGCCTAGATGCTGATGCTTGCTCCTTCTCCTGCCTTGCTGCCCCTGTGGGTTGTTTTGCTCTCTTAGCACCTTTTGGATTTGAGTCTTCGTTCGTTGCTGCAGCTTTTGGAGTTGCAGTCTTGACGGTGCTATCAATAGATTCCACGGATACCCCACTTTCCAGAGCTGAACTTATTCGTTTTGATGTGTTTGCACCACCTGCCAAACAAGAGTGAACCAGCATGCGCATCACATACAGGTGAATCATGAGCGTGATCTAGGCTCTAGGAGTTGACTTGTCACAGCCTCCAGGTGTTCGTTCCTCATTTGGCCTCAGCCAGTGCCCAGATCAGTTGCCTGATTCTCAGCCGCGATCTTCACACATAGAAAATACCTATATTCATATAAGTGTATACATGGCTATGAGCTGTAACATACATATGAGTATACCGCTCTGGTTCACCAAGCCCCTAACTCAACCTCATCAGTCCAAGGGTTGTACTTTGCGCGGCTACCAGGCATGGCCCAGACAGGAAAATGAGTGCAAACACCCTCACAAAAGCGTGTCATAAACCATAGGGAAAATATGTGTTTTATGTGACGTGTGATTTCTCGGACAATTGGCGCGATTTCTCGGACAATGGCCGCGATTTCTCGGACAATGGGTTTCATCCAAATTTGCAGGATGCATAACATAAAGTTAGTATGTCGTTTGACTGCCTATTAAAACAACTTGCCTGTGTCAATCATGCACACCAGTGAGAAGAGATCTTTTTGCTCGTTCCAGTGCATATCGATGATTGGAAACGTGCATTTGAGCTACACGTTGGTCAAACAACGTCCTTAAATTGTTTTACACTGTAGCTCTGGAACTGGCCACTGTTGGCAATCCAATAAAACGCCCAAGATCCACTTAGGGCTTTGAGAGTTTGAAGCTAGGAACGAAGGAGCCATCCTTCTTACGTTCTGAAAGAAACTCCCACACCTGCTGGAGGTTCGCATCTGCCCACTTCCGTGGCATCTCCTGGATTGCAAGGCGAGGCTGAGGCATTGCAAGGCGCAATCTGATGTGACTGGCATATTTACAATGTCATTGGGGACGATATATGGGCAGCAGTCCTATGTGCACATGTTTGATCGCTAGCAGTCTGAGTCTTATCCATATCCAGGGCTCACAAACAGTCTGAAGAGTTTGGAGTCCTCACAGTGCTTGAGGTGCAGCGAAACCACTCTTGTTGCAAATGATTTGGTATACGATTGTGTCCCCTTCAGATCCTTTCCACCTGACCTGGTTCAATGTTTAATTTGAATTGAAGTCATGAGGCATTGACGAAGTCATCGTTTTGTTTCACAACGCACAACCCATACCCAGCTGAGGAACACTGAACTAGAAGACTTTGCCTTTTTGACCACCTGGATTTTTCGACGTTTCTGGATCTTCTTGATCTGGGCTCGCCGGAATTTGGTCAGCTTCCGGTACATCTTGGGCAGGTGTGGCCTTGGCAGGCTTTCTGACTAGCTCTTCAAGGACTGTTGGGGAGGCACCGGAGTAGACAAGATCCAGACCACGTCCCAAACAATTGCAAAGGCTTTGGTGACCAATGTCCATATGCCCCCATCCACCTTGGCCATGAGATTTTCAACATATAATTCAATTCTAATTTGTTCTAGATTTGGAAGCTCAAGGTTGAATGCCAAAATGCCAAATCACATACACTCTAAGGTCCCTTCGTGCGAGTAAGCTTGCATTTGAGCTTGGCAATCTTCAAGAGGTAGCTGTAGTATTCTGTCTTTCTCAGCACTGACGATGTCGGCTGCTCAATTGCCCAAAAAACATTCCGCGCAATGCATACTAGAACTAGCAATGCCCACCGGGACAGAAGGAGGTTGGAGTTTGTGACACATGCCAATTTGGTGTTCCCCATATAGTTTCCCTCTTGCCGGCCATGGGTTCCAGCACTGATCCACACCAATAGCGAGCATGGAACCCCAGCCCATGCCAGCCCTCCAGGACGCACTCTCAGTATCATCTTGAGCAGGTAGAGAAGCCCAGGCCTGAGCAGTCGGAGAAGCTTGGGAGTTTCCTTCCCATGTTTTGCCCCAAGGCCCCTGCAAAGTTGTGAGGTCGTTCAACTGCCCACGTGAGGATTGAATATCGTAATAATCCCTTGGTGGCAGTCGACTTGAACTCTAAAATGATCTTGCGTTGGCTGAGAGTAGAACGTGGACGCTCCTTCCTTCCCTCAGGCAAATTCAGGCAACAATGATGGGCAACTAGATGTTTGAGTGTTTTTTGATGGGTTCCTAGAGAAACATGGGGAACCTCAGGGAAAACCTAAAGGGTGTTTGATCCAGCTCACTTCACCAGGGTCCAGACATGCTTCGTGGTAGATCCGGCCCACTCCAGCAAAGCATTCGACAATCTCTTTGTCCTCATGGTCACATCTAGATTTATATGGGTCCCAGATGTCTCCAAATCAAACTTTGTCAGATTTGGTCAGTAAAACTGTTGGTTGATGATTGAACTTTCATCAGAAGCATGTTCAAATTAAGCAGGCCAAACAGCTAACTCCATTACTATACTGCGGTTCACCCATTTCAGATTCCCACCCGCCGGCTTGAACTGCTTGTTGCTGAAGTGGTCTGCACCACATAGTCACACAAGTGCAACCTGGGAACAGAAATCATGGACGAATATAGATCGATTTATACATAATAGGTAGTGTCTATCCAATTCCATGAGCTTGACACAGGGGTCTAGGCACCAGGCAGTATAGCCGGTGCTCCCAGCAAGAGGAGGAGTTGGGCACTCCGGGGGCTCAACGCAAGGGGATGGGACACAGGCATCACCCTAAACCACCTCCAGGTTTGCCTTGACACCTGTTTGCTTGTTTGCTGGGCCACTGCAAGCATCGAATATAGACGACATTAAAGGTTCAGGCATTGCGCATGCACATGCAACATACTTGAACAAAATGCAAATTCTATAGTCCTAGATCTTGAATGATCTTGACAAAGTCTTGAAGGTGAATGACACTTTTGTCAGGGCTCCACTGACTCAATCGCTGCACCCCAGAAGTGAAAAGGAATGAGCCCACCAGTGACTGCACCCAAGTTTTTTTCAGGTGGCTACGTCTTGGTGTTGCGCTCTGTGCCCCATTTGCATCCTGTACTGCCAAAATGCTAATATAGTTGAGGTATTTGTTTCTCATGACTTGTGTCTATTTGCTATATAAGTCTAAAATCCAGGATGCAAGATAAAAACCCTCTAGATCTAGAGCCCTGGTCTCCAGATCGCCAGAGGCCCCTCCACCACATAGCTCTTGCCGACAAAATGGATGGCTTTCTGCATAGGAACACCTGGGCCAACTTCGAGTTTTGGCATGTACCTCTATAGTTGTGTGTGATTCACCTTAAAACCATGGTCTGACCCCAAGACTGAGTACAGTACCAAGCACTAGCGCAAAGGTATCTAGCCTGCCAGCTGGCGGCCAGTTTCCACCTGGACAAGGCCAGAGGCGTGCGAAGAAAATTGTCAGGTTGTGGAGTCACATGTTGCAGCTTAAGCACCCATAATGGGTGCCATACTTCTTCATTTGGATATTGATGCCGCCCTTGCTGTTTGCCTTGAACTCACCCTCAAAGTGAGTCAAGCAATCCACAAAAGCCTTGTTCACATAGTAGCTGGTGTTGCGCCTTGAGCTCATGATCCAAATAATGATATTTAAGTAACAGTGTCGACCATGAAGGTGTCCAGAACTAGACTAGCACTAGTGTATATCTGCAGTTTGCTGAAAGGTTGAGTCAAGCAGCGGGTGAAACAATAGCTGAATCCCCTTGCATGTGCCCAGGCCAAGCTGGTTGCAATGGTCAGGAGGCATGATGGTCAACGACCTCACTGCAAGTGAGCTAGTGCCTAAGGAGGTGATCTGTCAGATTGACGTGGATGTAAGTACAGCTATAATAATATATGATCTAGATTTTACAATTGCAAAATACAAGCCAAAAAGCTTCTTCGATTCCCCCACTTCCGTAGGAATATCCATGTCATCCAATTTATGGCCACGAAGCATTTCCAGAACCTGCACCATT